GTAGTAATTTTTTAAATACACCAGCATATGTACACATGCTTTAAAAAGGGGAGGGAGGTCATGCTATACAAACTCTTCTGCAATATGCTTTTTCATTTTATTATCATGGACATCTTTCCATTTCAGTACACTGAGATCTACTCTGTTTCGATTCTAAGAAGCACTTCACAAAACACACTCCAACATCTCTGAAATCAGAATGTTTCTTATAATCAGTGGTGTCTTACAACTACCATCAGCCAGGTATCAGAATTGTATGAAAACTTTCCATTGGCCTTTTCTGCTAAAATGAGGAAGGCACTAGCATCCAAGTACCTTACAATACAGTTATCACTCATCTGCATTGTCCACTGGACATAATTTATCTAATGCTATATCGCAAACTAAATTCTCTGAAGAACTGCCAAATTAAAGGGTCAGCACATTAAAAATGTTAACAGACATTGCCAAAGTCATAACAACTTACGGTGAATAAAAAGTAAAACTCTTGCCCTGGCCGGTTTGGCTCAGCAGTTGAAGCGTCAGCCTGAGGACCAGAGAGTCCCAGGTTTGGTTCCCACTAAGGGGCATGTACCAAAGAAGAAAAAAAAAAAAGGAAAACGCTTGCTGGAAATACCTATTTTCAATAGGGGTATCAATAGCAACTTTTTAAAATATTCATAATCTCAAAGATTTTATGACTGTTTTAAATCACTTTAAAAAAAATTATTTTAAGCCCTGGCCAGTTTGGCTCAGCAGTTAAGAGTGTCAGCCCAGCCCTGGCCAGTTTGGCTCAGTGGTTAGAGCATCGGCCTGTGGTCCGGAGAGACCCGGGTTCGGTTCCCGCTAAGGGCACATACTTCGGTTGCAGTTTGTCCCCGGCCCTGGTTGGTTGTGCGGGTGGCAGCCACTCGATGTGTCCCTTCACGTCGATGTTTCTCTCTCTCTCTCTCCCTTCCTCTCTCTCATCCCACTCTATCTGTACAAAAAATGGAAAAATATCCTCGGGTGAGGATAAAAAAAAAAGAGTGTCAGCCCAAGGACCAAAGAGTAGCGGGTTTGATTTCAGTCATGGACACGTACTTCAGTTGCAGTTCAGTCCCCGCCCTGGTCAGGGTCATGCGGGAGGCAACCAGTCAATGTGCCTCTCTCACATCAATGTTTCTCTCTCTCTCTCCCCTCCTCCCCTCCCTCTCACTCTGTCTAAAGATAAATGGAAAAATAGCCTCAGGTGAGGATTTAAAAAACAAAACAAATAAAAAATATTTTAAGATAATTTTAGATTCATCTCTAGTTGAGAGAAATTTTAGAGATCCTGTGTTCCCTTTATCCAGTTTCCTCCAATGATAACATTTTGAAAAACTATAAAACACTATCACAACCAGAATATCGGCATTGATACGTGGTATAATAAGAAATAGATATTTAGTCTTTGGCCCTGATTCCTAGAACAGGCTTCCTAAAACCTTGGAATTTCCTGAGTAATAAAAATGTCTTGTTATTTATGACAAGCTACTCTCAATCTTATCCAAGTTTATGCTATGAAATGACTATTGGTGGGCTCCTAGAGAGCTTCAAGATGGAAGGTGGTAATCGAGAGGCACCAATCAGGTGATTAGAAGATTAGAATGCTCAGCCCCACTCCCTCATCTCCAGGGAGAAAACAGGGACTGGAGACTGAGTTAAATCACCAAGCCAATGAGTTAATCAACCATGTCTACGTGATGGCACCTCTATAAAAACCCCTACACAATAAGGTCTGGCGATCTTCTGAGTTGGCAAATACAGCCACGTGCCAAAAGGATGATGCACCTTAACTCCAGAGACAGAGGCTCTTGCATTTGAGACCCTTCTGGACCTCGCCCTTTAGACTCCCTCATTTGGCTGTTCATTTGTGTCTTGTACAATAAGCTATAATAGTAAGCATAATGTTTTCTTAAATTCTTTGAGTTGTTCTAGAAAATAACTAAAACTTGGGAGGGTGGTATGTGAACCTTTAAATTTATAGCCAAGTCAGACAGATGTGTGGGTAACCTTGGGGACTCAACACTTACAAATGGTCTCTGATCGGCAGTCTTGTGGGACTAAGCCCTTAAACCTGTGAAGCCTGACACCACCTTCAGGCAGTTAGTGTCAGAAATGAATTGTGGGACACCTACTTGGTATCAAAGAATCAGAGAATGAGAGAATTAGAGAACTGGTTGATGATTCCATACCACATTTTGGAATGGCAAGAGAAAGAATGGAAGTACTGATGCATGCTACAAAATGGATAAACCCTTAAAACAGGCTAAGTGAAAGAAAACAATCACAAAAGATCACATGTGCAAATATATAAACACAGAAAGTAGACTGCTGGTTGCCTAAGGCTGGGGAGGAGTGGGGGGTGGTACCAGAAAATTTGGAGTGCCTGTTAATGGGTACAGAATTTCTTTGGGGGATGACAAAAATGTTCTCGAATTAGACTGTGGGGATGGTTGCAAAATTGTAATCATACTAAAAACCAATGAATTGTACACTTTGAGTAAAAGGTGTGGTATGTGAATTACATCTCAATAAAACTGTTTTTAAAAACAATGTTATAGCCCAGCTGGTATAGTTTAGTGGTTCCATATCAACCCATGCACCAAGAGGTTGCCGGTTCGATTCCCAGTAAAGACACATGCCCACATTGTAGGACCGATCCCCAGTGGGGGCCATACAGGAGGTGGCCAGTCGATGTTCTCTCTCATCGATGTTTCTATCTCTCTCTCGCTCTCTCCCTTCCTCTCTCTCTAAAATCAACAAAGGAAAAAAAATTTTTTTTAAGTTAATTTCAAAAGATTATATGCTTTATTCCATTTATATAACATTCTTTTTAAAAAAATCAATAAAGAAAAAAATATATGAAATTCAAATAGAATGTTATATAGCGCCGGCCAGTTTGGCTCCGTGATTACAGCATCAGCCCGTGGACCAATGAGTCACGGGTTCGATTCTGGCCAAGGGCATGTACCTGGGTTGTGGTTCGTCCCAGTCCCTGGCCCCGGTTGGGTTCATGCGGGAGGGAACCAGTTGATGTGTTCCTCTCATGTCAATGTTTCTCTCTTTCTCTCCCTCTCCCTCTCACTTTCCCTCTCCCCCATTCAATCTGAAGATAAATGGAGAAATGTCCTAGGGTGAGGATTGAAAAAAAAAAATTGTTATATAGCCCGGCTGGTGTGGTTCAATGGTTGAGCATCGACCCATGCACCAAGAGGTCGCTGGTTCAATTCCCAGTCAAGGCACACACCCAGGTTATGGGCCAGGTCCCAGTGAGGAGCATGCAGGAGTTGGCCAATCAACTCTCTCATCGATGTTTCTATTTCTCTTCCCTTTCCTCTCTCTAAAAAAAAAATTTTTTTAAGAATGTTATATAAATAAAATAAAGCACATAATCTTTTGAAATTAACTTAAAAAAATTTTTTTTGCCTTTGTTGATTTTAGAGAGAGAGGAAGGGAGGAGAGAGAGAGAGAAACATCGATGAGAGAGAACATCAACTGGCTACCTCCTGCATGCCCCCCACCGGGGATCGGTTCCACAATGTGTCCTGATTGGGAATCGAACCGGCAACCTCTTGGTGCATGGGTCGACGCTCAGCCACTGAATCACACAGGCTGGACTAAAATTAACTTTATTTTTCACTCACCATAATTCTCTGAAGATTGGTCCAGATTGTTGGGCATATCAAGACTTCATTCTCATTCCTTTTTATTGCTGAGTAGTATACCATTGTATGGATGTACTACTGTTTATTTTTTAAATCAATACTAAGAATGAGCATCCTTTCTTTTTTAAATCCTTACCAGAGGACAATTTAGCATTTATCTTTAGATAGAGCGGGAGGGACAAAAGGAGGAAGAGAGAGAGAGAGAGGAACATCGATGTGAGAGAGACACATCAACTGGTTGCCACCCACAAGACCCCAACGGGGGCAGGGACGAACTGCAACCGAGGTATGTGCTCTTAGTGGGAACTGAACCCGGGACTCTCTGGTCCATGAGCCGACACTCTAACAGCTGAGCCAAACCAGCCAGGACGAGAATGAGTATCTTTTAAGATATTTATTGATATCTTAATATTTATTGATATCTTATTTTTTTTCTCCTGTAAATTCTTCATATCTTTGGCCCCTTTTTCTACTTCACCCTTTTTTTATGAGTCCTTTGTCATATAGTACTACAAATTATTTGTCTCAAATTAACTTTGCTTATGATAATTTTTGCAATAAAGTTTTTGACTTTATGTAATCAGATATTATTGTATATTTTCTTCTAATAACATCTTTATTGTGGTATTTTTCCATTATAATCTTTGATTTATTTTAGCATAAGAATTAGCAAGTTGAGTCTTTGGATCCACTAGCAGTGTGATGCAGCAGAGCGCCCACGAGGCTAGAAATCAGGAGGCTGGGGCTCTAGCCCTGGCTGTGCCATTACCTAGCTAAATCACTCTGAGGAGGCTACCAGTCTGTAAAACTTGCCTTTTCTACTTAACACAATTGTTTTTGAGAAACAGGTAAGAAACTTATAGATATAAAAGAGATTCTCCAAAAATGTTCAACAAATGCCTATCAATCTATGAAGAAAATGTGAAGCATTATATAAGTATATAATATATATTTGTATGTATTATAATACTATTTCCTTTCCATGTGCCATAACTACCAAACTTACAGTGTTAGCCTTAGAGAGTAAATAGTTTGCCCTCTCCCAAATCCTAAGACCAAAGAGGTCAAATGACTTGCCCGAGGCCACAGGTGAAATTTGGACAAGAGCTGGTTCCAGAAGTGAACCCAAAGTAGCTATACCCCAATCCTCCCTCCGAGTCAGAGAGCGTTAAGATCTGCAAAACCTTAACTGTCATTACTTGTCTGTATTCATATCTCTGGACAAAAACAAAACTACTGCCTAAAAATGTAGAGCCTATAATTAGAATGTGGTGGGAGTGACAGCAAAGACAGTGGACTGGGAAGGCTGAATTTCATGTAACAGGCTCCCACCTTGCTTCCGACAGCCTGGGATTTTGATAAAGGCTCCATAGTCTGTCACCATAGCAACCTATAAAGACAAAAGAGAAAAAAGAAAAGAATCAATGTCATACAAATGAGTCTCTCTTCTGTAACATTTAACCTAGTCTCCCTAAATTTCTTTGATATTGACTGCCTCTGTCTGCCTGCTGCAAAACTGCCTAACTAACAGTGATGTTCTGTCAAACATTCTTTCTATTATTCTGAAAATTTAGACTGAATAGTATGTGTGAACCCATTAAAAACACTGGTGAGATTGGACTATTGACAGATGATATGACAGCACCTAGGAATGCCTAAATCTTACACCTATTAAAATCTCCAAAGAAGTATAAAAACAAAAGGAACAAACAGCAGAAAATCAGGTAATAGAGTTACACTTTATGCTGGATGGGACTGAGGCCTCCAATCCCAACTCTAACAATGTGTGATAGGTCATGTAGGATATCCCTTTTTCCTAAACTGCAAATCAAACCAGACCATACAGCCTAATCTCTAGTTCACTTCAAACCAGAGTCTGAGTTTTATCAAGACAATTAGAGAAAAAGCCAATCCACAGACATCTGACAGAAACTGAAAAGATGTAATCAGAGAAAGTGTTGTTCTTAAGTCTTTTGCAGAGTTGACCTAAGATGGAGGGAGGGGTTAGAGGTTTGATCAGTCTATGTACTATGTTGTATGTAACAGTAATGAAGGGCCCAGATACCTTGCCAGACAGATCATTACTCCAGACTACCTCTCTCTCTTCCCCTCTTTCCTCTAGCCCACCCCTCTCACCTGTGGATTGAGACTAAAGTCGTCACTACATACTATATTTATCCTAAATTCATTATTATTCTTGTAAAATATTCAGTGCAATCTCACAAATAATAAATGTTACTCTTTTCAGTGACCTTAGTTAGTTGTTTACTGTTTCAGCTTCACCACAAGGGGATGGAATGAGACAATTCCTGCTGTACTGCTATTCACTAATATATAGTGAATACTCACTACATGCAAACTCTAGTGAAAGTGCTTTACAGAATCCTCGTGACACCACATGATGCCAATACTACAATTATGCTTATCTGGTAGATGACAAAACTAACACATGGAGAGACTAAGCAACCTGACCAACGTTCAAAGCTAGTAAGTAGCAGTACCAGGATCTGAACCTAGGGAGCTGATCATGGGTTCTCTTTAACTATGAAATTCTAATAGCCGAAAGCAATATGACAGCTGATATCTTATTTGCTCCTGGCAACAATCTTAGAAAAGTATAGATGGTAGGTTCCCATGTTGCAGAGGTGAAATAGCAGAGGTGTAGAAAAAGCACAGGTTTTGGTGTGAAAGATGTGGCTTCTAATCCCAGCTCTCCAGCTTCTTACCCGTGGGATCTTGAACACAACTTGCCTTTCAGGGTCTAAGGTCCCATTGTACTCATTTTGTTGCTAGAAAATGACAAATGATGTACATAAAGCACCGGGCACTGGTATCTGGCACCCAAGGTACATTCAATAAATTTTAGCTTTATTTTTTCTTTATTGATATTAGAGAGAGAGGAAGGGAGAAGGAGAAAGAAACAGAAACATCGATGAGAGAGAACATTAATTGGCCACGTCCTGCATGCCCCTCCACTGGAGATTGGGCCCACAACCTGGGCATATGCCCTGACTGGGAATCGAACTGCGACCTCTTGGTGCATGGGCCAACGCTCAACCACTGAGCCACACCAGCCAGGCAATACATTTTAGCTTTTTAATAATTTATAGTCCACGACACTGAAGTACAGAAAGGTAGTGACCAGTAGAAAGGTATACAACTAACTCAGATACAAGGTAGGCACAGATCCTAGGTCCCTTGACTCAGTCCAGTGCCTTCTACTTTACTAAATAGCATCACTACTCACTTCAGTGTTAGAATAAAAACATGAAAATTTCTATTCTCCTCATCTGGTAACAGGAATTTTAGGACAGAACACTTGAACCAACTCTCCAGCATAAGAATAAGTTAAGAACCAAAAGTTCGAAACTCCTGTTTTTCACTGATGAACATGCTGTGCTAGGGTAGGGACAAGACAGTACCCCAAAACAGTACAATCAGGCAGATACCAGTATTTAAAATCAAATCAAAACAAGGTGGAACTGGAGGAAGGACCATGGAGATTAGCTGGTCCACTCCTGTCATTTTTCAAATGAGAAAAGTGAGAATCAGAGACATGAAGTGTTTACTTAAATTCACAAAGCAATTTATTCTCTGTAAAACAGGACCACATGGATTTAAAAAATAATAAGGTGACTTAAAAATTTTAATTACAATAAAAGCAAATTCCTTCTTGCTGAACCAACAAAAGGCACTTTGGCTTATACTCCAGGGTTCTAGAAAGAGGGCTAAGATGTCTCATATTGTATAACAACATTATTAAAGAGCCTAACATTCTAACAAACTTAAAAGTAGCATCTGGAAGTAGAAGCCCAAATCACCTTGCTGTTGTAAATTAAGACAATCTCACTTTTCAATCCTGAAGCTCCAGTGTCACATTATGTATGATCTTTTGAGGAAATAGTATAACAGACCTTAATTTGGTCTCTCCCAAAAGAAAAGGTTAATGTGCTCCAGAATGGATGCACTCAACTGTTCAGTTAGGAAACGGCATTCGTGCTTATAGCCAGCACCAGGTGTTTCCATCACTGTGTCTCCTAGGGTGCACAGAATGGCACCTGCTATAGATGATCACACATCTGCCCTGGTGTCCCCAGAATAATTAGTCAAATAGTTCAGGAGGAAAAATTCAGTAATTACCTCAACTAAACTCAGGACTTGGGTAAAATAAATCTAACAACTTCAGATGAGAGGTTGCATTGGTCTTGAAACTAGTTATCTCCATAATGTAAGTGAGGAATTTGAGGCTCAGATTAATTGTGCAAAGTCACAAAGTTAGAAAGTAGTGTGGCTGGGTAGAGAACAGAAGTATTTTGACTTCCAGTCCAATGCAATTTCCACATCGCCAACACCAATTTCCCCTCAGCACTTTTTTTCTTTTTCAACTACAAGGAAAGTCAGAGGTAGAAAAAGTGAGCTAGCTGGACTCCATGGGCTCAGGAAACAAGTTACAAAGGCAAAACAAGAGTCCTGGAAGCTTAGTGGAGAGAGCAAAGGTGCGGGCCTTGAGGGAAGAAGAGGGGGAAAGGTACCTGTGTGCAAGACAGAGAGAGTGCAAGAGAGAGAAAAGGCTCCCCTCCCCCCTCAGTATTTCTTTGGCTATGGCGAGGCTAAGCCAAACCCCAATTCCCATTGCTATGTCTGTATCCCCTACCATGCTTAAAGAACCTCTCTTTCTTTAAGTCAATAAAATCTTAATTTTTTAAAAAAGGAATACCCAACTTATTTTAAAATGAATTTGAAGTAGTTGCCAAGATACATGAGACAACCATGGCCTCTGCTCACAATCTGGTAGCGGAGATATACACATATACAAGTAACAATAATACAAGACAGTCTATAATTAATACCTTAACAGAGGTACAAACCAATGCCTGTGGAACAACCTGATTTACCATCCACCTTCCTCTTATACCTCAACTCAGTCAAGAGTTCTCTTACGGGTCTTTCACTTCCTCCATGCCTTTATTATGTATAGTTGAACAATCCCAGCTGCTGTGTAGCAGAAAGCTGACTTGGAGAGAGAACTAGAGAATCCCAGCCTTGCCATTTATTAACCATCTGAACATTACTTAACTTCTGAGAAGTTTCCTTACCCATAAAATTTCTTGGAAGAGTGAATGACAGAATGTGTGAAAGTACTGATTTATAAAAAAAAAAATTTTTAATTTAATGTAACTAGGCACTTGTTAGATGTTTGTTGGATGAATTGTCTAAAAAAGTTTAATTCCTATTTACCATGAAATTTCTCTATCCCTAATTCCAATCGTTTCTAAACCATCGTTTTTTAAAATGTGCTTCTGAGCCCTGGCCAGTTTGGCTCAGTGGTTGGAGCGTCGGCCTGCGGACCAGAGTCCCGGGTTTGGTTCCTGCCAGGGGCACATACAAAAAACAAAACAGAAAACAACACCCCACAAGGAGTCCTTCTTGTCAGTTATATTCTTCTCAGGGTAACATGGGTTAAATAAAGTACAATTAAATAAAATGTGTTCCTGACATATTAATCTAGAACTGTAAAGTTCTCTCTGAACAACTCTAGCCCATCCACCCTAATAGCAAAATATAAAACCTACACTAACACAAGTCCCATCTCATACAAGAAAAAGCTGTAGGTCAGGAGTAGCCACTTTTCTAGAAATCTGAGTCAGTTTGTGGAAGGCAGAGATCTCTTCTCTTTCTTGTGTGCAACACAAGAGGAAAAATCAAAGATGATGCCCAGATTTCTAGTGCAGGTACCTGAAGACAGTGGTTCCATTTGCTGATATGAAAAAGACTAGAAAGAACAGATTTGGTGAGAAAATAAAAACTTCAGTTTAAAACATAAATCAGAAATGCTGTGAGGTATCCAAATGAAGGTGTCAAGTGTGCAGCTAGAAGTCTGGAGCTTAGAATGGGTATAGGTGATAGATAGCCAGATGCTCCACTAGCCCTTCCTACTTGAACTGTAATGCTCAAGTCCTGGCCAGTGGGCTTAATCGGCTGAGTGTGATCCTATACACCAAGAGGTCACCAGTTTGATTCCCAGCCAGGGCACATACTTGGGCTGCAGGTTCATTTCCCAGTCAAGGTGAATACAGGAGGCAACCAATTGATGTTTCTCTCTCTCTTTCTCTCTCTCTCTCTCTCTCTCTCTCTCTCTCTCTTCCCCCTTCTTCTCTCTCTAAAATCCATAAAAACATAAAAAAAAAAAAAAAACCTGTAAGGCTCAAGATAGTCTCAAATGGATAGGAGCTCCAAACCCAGCTGCTTTTCACCCTCAATCTAACATAAATGGTAAGTTTTTAAAGCCAAAAGAATGTACCTCTCCTTGGAAAATAGTGTACAGAGCAGGCAAGTTTTCCATGGTCTCAGGTCTTCCTGAATTCATCCTTAATGTTCTATGGCTCCTCCATATCTCTTCTGCTAAAGCTAATTCAAGGGTCCTGTCACAAAGAAGTAAGTCAGACAACAATTTGAGAGACATATGCATTAAATAAGAAACATGCAGATAATCCACAGCTACTCTTTATAGAGTAATAACATAAAATACCATGTACTTTTATCCAAACCTCTTTTGTCTACTCTAATTGTGGGGAGTTTTGGAAACCTTGATTTTATTTCTTTTCAATTTGATATGTACCCAAGGCCATTAGTCTGCTGTTTCGTTTCTTTTTTGTTTTTTTAATCCTCACCCGAGGACATTTTTCCATTTTTTGTTCAGATAGAGTGGGGGAGAGAAAGAGAGAGAGAAACATCAACATGAAAGGGACACATTCAGTGGCTGCCACCCGCACGACTCAACCAGGGCTGGGGACAAACTGCAACCGAGGTACGTGCCCTTAGCGGGAACCGAACCCGGGTCTCTCGGGACCGCAGGCCAACGCTCTAACCGCTGAGCCAAACCGGCCAGGGCTGTTTCTTGTTTTTTTTATTGCTATTGTTAGTATTCTTTTGCCAAGGGAAGGTTTTGAGGTGTGTGTAAATGGATCATTTTAAAAAAGGAAACAATGCCCTGGCTGGTTTGGCTCCGGGGTTAGAGTGTCGGCCCTAGGACCAATGAGTTGCAGGTTTGATTCTAGTCAAGGGCACGTACCTCAGTTGTGGTTTGTCCCAGGCCCTGTTCGGGGTCATGCAGGAGGCAACCAGTCAATGTGTCTTTCTCACATTGATGTTTCTTTCTTTCTCTCTCTCTCTCTCTCTCCCTCCCTCCCTCCAACTCTATCTGAAGATAAATGGGAAAAATATCCTCAGGTGAGGATTTAAAAAAAAAAAAAACATTTAAAAAAGGAAACAATAATAGTACGAGCTAACATTTATCAAGCACTTACTATGTTCAGGAACTGTGCTAAGCACTGAATATCCAATATCTCATTTAATACTCAAAAGTCTCAAGATATAGGTTCTATTATTATATTACATAGGTGAAAAAACCAAGGCTCCCAGAGGTCAAATTACTATGTCTATGTCAAAAAGCCAGAAAATGGTGGAATCAAACTCTGGCTGACACTAGAGTCCACACTTTTAACCACTGTGCTTACTTTTCTCCTGATAAGATTAAAAATACACGAGCTCATTTAAAGAGCTCAGGCAGCCTTGGCCGGTTTGGTTCAGCACTAGAGCATCAGCCCACAGACCAATGAGTCCCGGGTTCAATTCCAGCTAAGAGCACGTACCTAGGTTGCAGTTCGTCCCCAGCCCTGGTCATTACATGCAGGAGGCAACCAGTCAATGTGCCCCTCTCACGCCAGTGTTTCTCGCTCTCTCCCTCTCTCTCCACCTGAAGATAAATAGAAAAATATCCTTGGGTAACGATAAAAATAAATAAATAAATAAATAAATAAAAATTTAAAAAGTTCAGCCCTGGTCAGTTTTCTCAGTGGTTAGAGTGTCCGCCTGTGGACCAGAGAGTCCAGGGTTCGGTTCCCACTAAGGGCACATACCTCAGTGGCAGTTTGTCCCCAACCCCAGTTGGGGTCATGTGGGTACAGCCAGTTGATGTCTCTCTCACATCCATGTTTCTCCCTCTCTCCCTCCTGCTCTATCTGAAGATAAATGCAAAAATGTCCTCTGGTGAGGATTAAAAAAAATAAAAAAGTTCAGGTAGACCTGGTCAGTGTAGTTCAGTGGTTAGAGCATTGGCCCAAGCACCAAAGGGTCATGGGTTTGATTCCTGGTCAAGGGCATGTATCAGGGTTGCAGGTTCAATCCCCAGCTCTGGTCACGGCATGTGCTGGAGACAACCAATCGATGTGTCTCTCTCACATTGATGTTAATCTCAATCTCTCTCCCTCTCTCTCCCTACCCCATTTCCACTCTCTCTAAAAATAAATATATATATATATATAAATATATATATATATATATATATTTATATATATATCTCCACAGGTGAGGATTAAATTTAAAAACAAAGTTCAGATAATACATCAATAATTTTTCTTTATCCTCACCCAAGGACATTTTTGCATTTATCTTCAGATAGAGCGGGAGGGAGAGAGGGAGGAACAGAAAGAGAGAGAGAAACATCGATGTAAGAGAGACCCATCAACTGGCTGCCATCCACACAACCCCAACTGGGGCTGGAGACAAACCGCAACCGAGGTACGTGCCCTAAGGGGGAACCGAACCCGGGACTCTCTGGTCCGCAGGCCGACGCTCTAACTGCTGAACCAAACCAGCCAGGGCATATTAATAATTTTTTAAAAAATAATTTATAATTCAATTTTGTTTACATCCTTTTAGACATTTTTATAAGTACAGTGTTTTTTTGAAGTAGAATCATGAAATCATTAATCAATAGCCATTTTAATATATTTTAGCAATTCTTACATACATACACACATCTTTTTTAAATGCATACATAATAATCCATTGTTAGATAAACCAAAGTTATTTAACTATTTGTGAATCATGTTAAAATACAGATTGCAGTTCTGAGGTGGCCTGAGATTGTATATTTCTAACCAGCTCCCAAGTGATACTGATGCTGCCTTGGTAACATGTCTTACTGCTTTGGAGCTGAATGTGACCTTCCTTAGAGGTACTCCTGCTCAGTCTCTTGGTTTTAAACAGAAGGGAGACTAGCAATCTAGTGGCTCTTAACCATGTCTTTACTCTGATGGATAAATCACTGCTACATAAAGATAAATCTAACAGAACTGTCCTTGGTTCTCTTTTTTCCTCCCAATTACACTTGACATCATTAAGTCCTGAAACTACTTTCCTTAGGTTTTCATAAGAAATACTTTCTTTTCTCCTCAACCCCTAGTGCAATCCTTCCCTTTCAGATGGCTTTGGGTCCTATTTTTGAAGGCTTCCTGATTTGCAATCACCATCCATTAACTAAATTGCTTCTCTTGACACAGAAATGAAAGAAAATGCTGTCACTGCCATGGCTGGTTTGGCTCAGCAGTTGGAGTATCAGCCCGCTGACCAAACAGTAGTGGGTTCAATTCCAGTCAAGGGCATGTACTTCGGTTGTGGTTCAGTCCCTGGCCCTGGTCGGGTTCATGCAGGAGGCAACCGATCAATGTGTCTCTCTCACATGGATGTTGTGTGTGTGTGTATGTCCCCCCCCCCCCTTTTATCTGAAGATAAATGGAAAAGCATCCTTGGGTGAGGATTAAAAAGAAAAAAGAAAAGAAAATGCTGTCAGCCTTCCAAATCCTAGTTTCAGTATCATCCCAAAGCCCAGTAGTTCCATAAGACAACCTTGTATCCTTCTTATAAACTTGCATTATTGTGGTTAGGTCAGAGGTGGGTATTATTCCTTTACTAATAGCACATAGATAGAATGTAGGTAGATTTGTCAATTCTTTTTTTTTAATCCTCACCTGAGGACATTTTTCCATTTTTTGTTCCGATAGAGTGGGAGGGAGAGAGAGGAAGAGAGAGAGAGAAACATCGATGTGAAAGGGACACATCAAGTGGTTGCCACCCGCACGACCCATCCAGGGTCAGGGACAAACTGCAACCGAGGTACGTGCCCCTAGTGGGAACCAAACCCGGGTCTCTCTGGACCGCAGGCTGATGCTCTAACCGCTGAGGCAAACCAGCCAGGGCAGATTTGTCAATTCTTAAGAAATGGCTGATAGCCCTGGCCAGTTTGGTTCAGCGGTTAGAGCGTCGGCCTGCGGTCCGGAGAGGCCCGGGTTCGGTTCCCACTAAGGGCACGTACTTCGGTTGCAGTTTGTCCCCGGCTCTGGTTGGTCTTGCGGGTGGCAGCCACTCGATGTGTCCCTTCACGTCGATGTTTCTCTCTCTCTCTCTCTTCCTCTCTCTCCCTCCCACTCTATCTGTACAAAAAAAAAAAAAATGGAAAAATGTCCTCGGGTGAGGATAAAAAAAAAAAAAAAAAAAGAAATGGCTGATAAACAGGTTAAATTTGGATCCTTCCTTCCACTTCCCAGCTATGTAGTCTCAACTCTAGTCCCTCCCTTCCATGTGTGCAGCATCCCTTATATCACATCCTAGAACAGAGGTTATTAACTGAGGTCAATGGCTCTATCTAAAAACCTTAATTATCCCTCCAACTCTCAGAGCATGAGTAAGGTACAGAATCCATAGAGGTATCAGCAAATAGGGCATCTAAATTAAGCTCAAATATCTCAGTCTCATCTGTTCTTCCCTATAGAAAGGTTGTGGAAAGAACAATAAAAGTGGGGGAAATCGTAAGTTATTTCTTGCTGATTTCTGCTGTGATAAAAAATATGAACAGCTAAGTTTACAGCTCTCCTGTTTGTTCCTGTTGAACAGTAGCCTGAAAAATCATATGTAAATCTTTAAGCAAACTAGCAGCATTTTTGAGGGAAAGCCTGAAATGTAGTAATACAGATTTATAATTCAGGAGTAGAGGGTTGCCATTTTAAAATGGGATTAAAATTCTTTTCATAGTATGTTCTGTAAAGACTTAAGAGTTCTGTAGTGGTTATTCAGAAGCTCCTTAGATAACTCAAGTTTAACTATAAAAAGTCAATTTTTAAATATCTCAAGACCATAGGGTTCAAGAAGGCCAAAGAAGTAGGGATGTAGGCCAACCAACCAGAAGAGAGCCTCTATATCAAAGGTGCAAGGAGCAGAACCCCAAAGAAACCAGAACTGGGGAGGCCCCACACAGAGCATTTGGAAAGCTAGAAGCCTCTCCTCAAAAACTGGGCAGAGGTTGATTATTACTGATTCTCACTTGCCCTCCTAGCCTTGAATCAGCCATGGTAGCAAGAAGTGGAGGTTAGAGGAGGAGGAACTATTTTTAACAGTGTATTCTGCTTTGATCCGGTTTACCTATTAAGCTTCTATGTAAGATTTCATTTGGGGAAAAAAAGTTCTGCTTAAAAAAAAAAAGGTTTATAGCCCTGGCTGGTTTGGCTCAGCGGTTAGAGCGTCGGCCTGCGGTCCCGAGAGACCCGGGTTCGGTTCCCGCTAAGCGCACGTACCTCGGTTGCAG